AAGACCGTGAAATGTCGATTCGTCGCCGTTCGCAGCAATTGGGTTTGTGTTATTCGACCACATGGAAGATTTTACGCAAAGATCTTGGTGTAAAACCGTATAAAATACAGCTCGTGCAAGAACTGAAGCCGAACGATCTGCCACAACGTCGAATTTTCAGTGAATGGGCCCTAGAAAAGTTGGCAGAAAATCCGCTTTTTTATCGACAAATTTTGTTCAGCGATGAGGCTCATTTCTGGTTGAATGGCTTCGTAAATAAGCAAAATTGCCGCATTTGGAGTGAAGAGCAACCAGAAGCCGTTCAAGAACTGCCCATGCATCCCGAAAAATGCACTGTTTGGTGTGGTTTGTACGCTGGTGGAATCATTGGACCGTATTTTTTTCAAAGATGCTGTTGGACGCAACGTTACGGTGAATGGCGATCGCTATCGTTCGATGCTAACAAACTTTTTGTTGCCAAAAATGGAAGAACTGAACTTGGTTGACATGTGGTTTCAACAAGATGGCGCTACATGCCACACAGCTCGCGATTCTATGGCCATTTTGAGGGAAAACTTCGGAGAACAATTCATCTCAAGAAATGGACCGGTAAGTTGGCCACCAAGATCATGCGATTTGACGCCTTTAGACTATTTTTTGTGGGGCTACGTCAAGTCTAAAGTCTACAGAAATAAGCCAGCAACTATTCCAGCTTTGGAAGACAACATTTCCGAAGAAATTCGGGCTATTCCGGCCGAAATGCTCGAAAAAGTTGCCCAAAATTGGACTTTCCGAATGGACCACCTAAGACGCAGCCGCGGTCAACATTTAAATGAAATTATCTTCAAAAAGTAAATGTCATGGACCAATCTAACGTTTCAAATAAAGAACCGATGAGATTTTGCAAATTTTATGCGTTTTTTTAAAAAAAAAAGGTATCAAGCTCTTAAAAAATCACCCGTTATGAGGAACGCTTGATTCACTTCTTTTTCGACCACTATTATGTCCGGCCTGTTGTGTGGCATTGGACGGTCCGTCAAAACTGATCGGTCCCAATATAGCTTGCTCGTTCTGTTTTCAATTACAGCGTCTGGAGTATAATTAAAGTACGACAGCTCTTCCGTTACTAGCTTATGTTGTATCGCTAGACTCTGGTGTACAATTTTTGCCACCTGGTTATGTCTGGTTAAGTATTCGGTGGCTGCTAACGTGACACAAGCTCCTGTGATGTGGTGGATGGTTTCTGTTTGCTTTTGGCATCGTCTGCATAGGTCGTTTTCAACGGAATCACGCATAATATATTTCGAGTAGTTTCTAGTCGCAATAACTTGATCTTGTATAGCGATCATAAAACCTTCAGTTTCGGCGTAGATACCGGAGTGAATTAACCATTCGTTGGCAGCAGCGTTATCTACTTCAGGAGCGTCTAGAGCATGTGGATATCTGCCATGAACCGCTTTCATTTTCCAGTCTTGCATGAGCGACTGGATATGTTGCGTTCCTGATATTAATTCGATTGCAGAAAATTCACTAAGATTTAATGGTGAATATTTTAAATCGGCTTTGCACACGGTTTGGAGTAGGCTGTTCTCTTGGTTGTGGAAGTATAAACGAAGGCTTTGTTTACACTTATTATGTAATTGCTTAATGTCTACCATCCCTCGACCTCCCTGTCGACGTGGCAAGTAGAGACGTTCTACTGCCGATTTTGGGTGATGCGTGCCATACTTTGTCAACAATGTCCTTGTTGCTCTCTTGACGTTTTCTAGTTCTGTTTCGGACCATTTTACTACACCAAAGGTGTATGTTAAAACCGGTATCGCAAATGCATTAATGGCTTTAAAAAGGTTATTCCCATTCAAGCATGATTTCAGCAAGCTCTTTACTCTTTGGAGGTATTCACTAGTTATGGCTGAAACTATTTCACTGTGCTGCATCCTCCTAGCCTGTAAAATACCAAGGTACTTATATGTGTCGCCTTCTGTCATTGAGTCTACAGTTTCATGAGTCATTAATTCAAATTCTCGCCTTATAAGTTTTCCATTTTCCACACTTAATCTTCGACATTTTTCTACTCCAAACGACATTTTTATATCATTTGAAAAATCTTCTGTTTGTTCCAGTAGCGTATTCATTTGACGTTCATTTGCAGCATATAGTTTTATGTCATCCACGTACAGTAGGTGTGAAAGTCTATATTGCGATACACGCGGTGCTTTTAAACTAAAGCCGTAGTTTGACGCATTTAGTAACGAAGAAAGTGGATTTAGCGCCAGACAAAACCATATCGGACTCAAGCTATCTCCATGGAAAGTACCTTTTTTAATAGGTATGGGAGCGGTTTTTATGAGTCCGTTATTATGAAATAGTTTTAAAGTAACTTTCCATGAGTTCATAAGTTGCTGCATAAGACGTTTTATGTTCGGCGATATTTTATAAATGTCTAAAACCTCCAAAAGCCAAGAATGCGGAACAGTGTCAAAGGCTTTTTTGAAGTCGATATAAGATGTATAAATATTTCTTTGATTATGGTATGCTTGCTCCATTATGACTGTATCAATTATCAGCTGCTCTTTGCAGCCTTTGCTGTTTTTAACACATCCTTTTTGTTCGATGGCTAGAATGTTGTGCGTTTCAAGATGAGTACATATTTTTTCGGCTAAACAAGATGTAAGAATTTTATATAGGGTACATAGGCACGTGATGGGGCGATACTTAGAAGGGTTCTTCGTATCTTTTGGGTCCTTTGGTAGCAGATATGTACATCCCTTCATTAAGAAGTTCGGTACTTGGGATTCATGTTTGAGGAATTTTGTAAAGTGTTGAGCTACCATACTGTTTGTGCATGTAAACTTTTTTAACCAATAATTATAAATACCATCTGGCCCTGCAGCCCGCCAATTTTGAGTGCTCTCTACAGCTTTTTTGATATCGGCCTCACTGAAAGTCGCGTCTTCCATAGCTTTTATAGATTCCGTTCTCTTGTACTCATCGTGGATCCACGCTGAATCGGTTGCATGTTTGGTGCTGGTTGACCATATAGACTTCCAGAAGCTTTCGATTTGCTCGGAGCTAGGTACTTCGGTTATATCTTCAGTCTTGTTGCGTTTAAGGTTTCTATAAAACCCTCTTTCATTTCGCTGAAATGATATGTTTTGTATTCTTCTCTTTTCTGATAGAGTATACCTACGCAAACGGTTTGACTTAACAGCTAGTTTTTGGCGGATAGTATCTAGGTATTGTTCAGCTGTTTGATTCGACGGATCATGTTTGGAGTGCTTTTTATTTTCGAGTTTAAAAGTTTCATACCAGTTACGCATCTTTTTCGTCCGGTTTCCGTTCATGTACTGTATTAGCCGACCAATTGTAGCTCGTAGCTCTTTTATTTGAGACGCCAGTCTGTGTTTCCATGGCGGATCGACTGACTACTTTTTAGGAGGTATTCTACGGCTAACAGTTTTCCCTCCAGTGAAACGAATAACGGCTGTTGCAGCCACATATATTGCAGTCTGCAGTTCTTCAAACGTGTAATTATTATTTAAAATAAAAGTAGGCAATATTTCTTTGTTCATAATAGACGTCGCTATAGCCAAACTTTTTGTAGCTTTTTGTTTGGGAAGAAATGGGCGTAGTAATGGATCAGTACCATTGAACTCTATCATTGCAGCATTGAATTCATTTCTTAGTATCGTCAAGTTTTCATTTTCGTCAACATTTGTTAATGCGTTTATCGCTTGGTGTTCGTCATGTTGATAAATATCGTTAACAGGCGTCATACAATCATCATTTGGTTGAGTTCTACCGATTTCAATTTCGGTAGATAGCTGATTTTCTACTTCATTCTTTAATTCGTTGAGTCTTCGGGCTGATAGATACTTATTTCTAATTATTGCACTCCGTTGATCCCCTATCCTTTGTACTGATACATTCATGTTAGGGTATGCTTGCTTAAATAGTTCGTGTAGTCGTGTCCTATATCCGCTTTTGTTGGTTTCGTTTCTGGTAACAAAATAGTAGCTCCGCATGATGTGCTCATTCATTTCTTTGGTCCATTTCATGCGTTGCCCTGGAGATACCGCCCTTGTGGTCACCAATTGACTCGGTGAAACACTCAGGAGCGGTTGCAAAATCATATTCATATCCGGTTCGTCATTCGGTTGATCAGGCTGTAGTGTCCCGCATCGCCCCTGACCATTGCGATGCTCGTCCGAGGCTTCCCTTAATATATTAGGAACCATAAAGACACTTGTGCGGGTGGTTAGCCCTTACAAGGTTGGCTGTGACTTGCGTGTTTGCCAAGCACGTAAAGGGATTACCCTTTTCACTGCATTTACCAGTTTTGATCCACGGGCGGTATTTTATTTCCCGCCTACCCTGTATTTCTACCGGGCATTCCCCTATCCGCACGAGGGGACGCGCCCCATGGAGGATCTGGTAACCCCGCAGGGGTTTATTTTATTTTATTTTATTTTATTTTACTTTATTTTATTTTATTTTATTTTATTTTATTTTATTTTATTTTATTTTATTTTATTTTATTTTATTTTATTTTATTTTATTTTATTTTATTTTATTTTATTTTATTTGTTTATTATTTTTTGCTTTCCCTTCATTTCACTTCCCGTTCCTTTCCGCGCCAGTCCTTCGATATTCAGTTATTTTACTCACTTCCGATTATGTATCGATTCAAGTAATGAATTTTTATAAACTTCTTTACTTCCCCAGAAAAATGGCGATCGTCCACCCTCATTGTGGCTTTGCTATTTGCGTAGCAGCTGGAGAATGTTTATGTTGGGCGGACTACTGAAGCTTTGCGGTGATTTATTTGCATTAATTGGCCCACTTGCCATTCAACAAATTGTGCAGTATATCGAAACCATGTACAATACGACTTACGCGAATTGGTTGCACTCAAATAGCACTAACAACCACAACACAAGCGCCACGACTCTCAACGACAATATCAACAATTCGAATATTGTGCAACGGGGTGTACGGGCAAGTGCGGCTAACCACCGCTATGATAGTGTTGAAATTGTTAGAAATAGATCAATTACGCCAGGGGGGAATTCAATATCTCTATAGTGACCACAGAAACAACAATGGTAGTGACAGTAGGAGTAGCAGCAGCAGCAGCAGCAGATTTGGTAATTTCCATGACAGCAGTCGCATTAGTTTGCAAACAGCAACAACAAATTGGGTTACAAATGCCTTGACAGCAATCTTAACCACTAACAGTGCTGATAGTAGCATCATTTCGGCTGCTAATAGCAACAATAACAATAACTACCACAATCACAATTACAACAAGCACTTGATCAGCCCATCAGCTCAGGCCGCCGCAATGATAAGTGTGCCCAGTCCGTTAAGCGTTAGCCTCAGCAGCATCATCAACACTACCACCCACGCCACCACAAATGATAATAATCAAATGTTGAATGCCGGCATCGATTACAATGGCATTGAAGTGCAAATTTACTATCCGAATTGGTTAGATTTAGTGTCGAACGGTTGGGCTATAGCTTGGCTGGTGCTGCTGGCCGCACTGGCGCAGGGCGCATTCTCACAAGCCTCTACACACATACTCAACATGACAGGCATACGAATAAAGACATCGCTACAGGGTTTAATCTATCGCAAAACATTGTTGCTCAATTCAAGTGTTGGACAAACAACAGCTGCCACTGGCGATGGTGGATATAATGAAGGATATGATGATGGAGACGATGGTGGGACAAAAGGACAAAAAACGGATGCGAGTGAAGTCGATTCTGCTATGGCAGCGGAAGAAGGTAAAGCAGGTGGCAAGGGTAATGTTGAACCAGATGTGGCTGGTGAGAACAATGGCGGCGTAACAGAGAACGATATGGGCGGTGAGTATTGAAGGAAGTTGATGAGAATTGCGTACGAGTGGGGGATATTTTTTCGTAGGAAAAAAAGTTAATAAGTAATTCTATTTTGTAAGCAGGTTGGTGGGAATACAAAAACCTTACTGTATAACATATTTATATATGTAGATAGCAAGTTCTCTGAAGCGAATGGAGATGCAAAGGACCTTTCACATGGGCCCTACCGTTTTTCATCTCGTCTATCTACCCAGTCTTCCTTACAGATTATCTTACTGGTTTGAGGAGTAGCATTAGGAGTGTAAATTAGGTATATGAGGGATAGGTAAACTCCTCTGGAGAGGTGGAGCGGAGTGAGGCGGCGCAACTCAGCTCGTTTGAGTGGCAATTTAGTGAAGTCGTCAAACACCAACTGCAGGTCGCCCATATATGACAGACCTATAACTGCAGAAAATCCGTCCTCGGCCAGTGGCAGCAGGATTCTGGATTTTGGCCATCATAATGTACCTTAACCACGTTCTAGAGGCATTAAGAGGCCATGAGATGATCTAATGCAAAGACAGTTTCTGACATCAGGGATGCTTGGTTGAGACGAACAGCTCATATTACCTTTGATAATGATGCTCTGTAGCGAACTAAGATAACAGTAATCTGGCCGGCTGAAAAATAAAATCATCTTATAAAAAAACCTGAAGAGCGTGAAGAATTTCAACTTTGCTTCTTAGGGTTTTCCTAGAAGGGGCAGGCCTTGAGGGCAATATAGGTAGACAATCCTCTGGTGGAGTTTATAAATACGGCAAATGCTCTTGTGCAGGGTGATCACGGTAAACGTCGATGAGAACTCGGCTTCAAGATATGTGGCAAGGAGCATAGCGCAGGGTGGCGTGCACACGCCACTCTTTTGGAACCTAACCGTGAACTCTCTCTTGCGGGAGACGGAACGGGGAAGCGACAAGGTTGTTGCTTACGTGGATGACGTAGCCATCGAGTATAGGGGCAAGTTCCCGCCAATTCTAGTGGGAATTGATGCCGAGGGCACTTCGCGATGTATCAAGATGGTCGACGTGCAGTGGCCTTTGTGTCGATTCGGAGAAAGTGGAATTTGGTCTTTTTATGAGAAGATAAAAAAAACCGCTACTCACTCCGCCTGAACTGAACGGGTGACTCTCTTAACTTTACGCATAAAGCAAGAAGGAGAAATAGTCTGTGGCCTTATATTCCTGCAAGAGGGCCATTGATAAGAAATATGGGTCGAGCGGTATATGCCGCTGGATCTACACAGCGGTGGTTAGACCGATTCTCCTTTATGGTATTATATTTAGTATGGCGGTCGGCTTTGAGCACGTCCGCAAATCTTAATCTACTCAGCAAAGTACACAGGATTAGTATGATCTGCATTAGCGGAGCAATCCGGACAACACGAAATGATGCTTTAAATGTATTTTTGGATCCTCTGCCACTAGATCTAGTGGGTCAGCAGCTGGCATCTCTTGCTGCACTCCGGTAAAGGGAGAATTTCCTGCGTTCTGAAAAAAAGAAAGCTTCCTTACGGACCATTTATTTCGACTACCGGACTACTGTGGGGTTTTCCAGGCTGAGGTCTCAGTTATAATAGAGACTGTAAACGAACTTCGTACTGTGAGTTCCTTCATAATTACATCAAATATTGTGTTGGACTGCCGCCGACCTCTGAAAGAGATGGCTAAGCAGAACAGTCTAAACCTCAACCTGTCTGGGGCCTTCTTTTTTTGAGTAACCTTGACAAATTGGGAGATTTAAACCCTAGGTGCCTAAGAAGTTTCGTCAAGGATTCAAAATGGTTTAGGAAGAGGGAGTGAAAACTCTAGTAGAAGTTGAAAGCTTTAATTAAATAAACCCAATTATTTCAAATTCTCTATTTTCAGGTTTGAGTGATGTGGGCGCCATAACAAATCTGATGTCGGAGGATGCTTTGAATGTCATGTCATTCTTTTGGATAGCGCACTACGTATGGGCGATACCACTAAAGGTATGTGTGTATACATACATATGTATGTGTAGACATATATGCACATGTATGAATGTATACATAACTATGTATGCAAGTCTTTCTATAAGTATTGACGCATATAAGCGCAGCTGCAAATTCTTTTCGGCAATGAATTAAACTTGCAATTGCAATTTAAAATTTATTTCATTTTATTGCCTGGTAAATTGCTTTTACTTAAACTTATCCTGATTTATATGTATCTATGCACATATATACATACATATGAATTAACTATATCCACTGCTGCATGCGTATATCTACATATTTGCTTGTGCATTTTAGCTGCATATCTATGTACATTAGGTCGCCTCTAAAAAGTGGCGGTTTTTCAGCAGAATTATAGAATTTTTTATAATTCACCGTGCGATAAAAAAAAAAAAAAATTTGAAGCAACCAGTATACTCACGAAACTGTTGGCCAAATATAGTAAAACTGCCTTTTTAGGTTTTCTCCCTGACTTCAGTGTTTTTTTAAGGACTTTGTAGTTTCAAAAATTTCAAAAATTATTTAAAAAATTGAGTGCTACATGGGTTCCAATTGAAAGAGAAAATTCTCTAAATATTAAAAAATTTTAAATTTTTGGTTCACGAGGAGTGGACTCAACACTTATACATATAATATTTTCAAAAATTATTACTGCAAAATTTCAAGGATAAAATATTAAAAGGACATTTTCAGTACCTAATCGTGCTCATGCAATAAAAATTTTAACCGTTTTTCATTCTATTGAATTTTCTCTGAAATTTACTATGAAATTTTTTTAATTATTTTTAGACGAAATCGAATTTTTCAAACTTCAAAGTCCTTTAAAAAATCCTGACGTCAGAAAGAAAAACTAAAAACACAGTTTTACTTTATTCGGCCCAATAAATTGATTTTTTTGTGTGTAAAATTGTTGTTTCAAGACTTTCGCCCAAAATATTTCGGAAAAATATTGAGATCAATCTTATCCAGACCTCCTTAGCTTTAACTCTTTTATCGTCTGAGGTGACTTTTTGGAAAAAAAATTTTTTTTTAAATAAATTTGATTTATGAAAAACTCGATTTTTTTGGTATTTTCAAATTGGCACAGCTCAGCTAGATTTTATAACTCCGACTTCTCTTTTTATGTGTAGAATGATGAACCCTAATGCACATATTTACGTACATATGTGTGTGTCTTTTATCTACGTATTTAATTTATTTATGCTGCAATGCTCGAATAAATCTTTGATTCATTTCATGCATCAACTTAACTTCTTTTTTTTTTCTGTGAGTATTTTTCTTAATTGCAATGCTTCAATACTTTGACTTTTCTTTACTTTTAAGTATTATTTACAAGCACATGAAAATAAGTGCCTGGGCATGTTTTTCTTTTACATTTGTTGGAAATAATATTCGTGTAAGCAAAACGGAAATGGAAATGTAAGTTGTTGTGCTTGACGTACGCTGAAATCCCTGAAAGTCTTGCATGCATACACACATACATATGTATGTACAAAAAATATTTATTATGGCCAGTGTGTTTGCATGCAGGCCAAAGAAAAATATTGACATTTAAACAAAACTCTTGGCTGAAAGAAAGTGAATGGAAAACAGTTTTATTTATTTTATTTTATTTAAATTAAATACAAATTGAAACCACTTAAATAAGTGAATATAAATGCTTTGAATACTTTATACATACATATCAGCCAAAGAAATGTTAGTTAAAAAAAAAATATTTTAGAGCTGGTAAAGCATGTCAATTACTTTAATAACTGAGCTAAGAAATATAAGAATGAAACCAGTTTTAGAAACAATAAATTAAATTAAAAATAAGGCAATAATCGGCGCTGAATCTTCTAGTATTTTGGAAAACACTCTTTTTGGTATAATTTGAAAGCTAAAATTCCAATTAAGAAAAGATTGCAACGTATCCTGTGACAAAATAGATCTTAAGCCTAATGCATCACCTCAAATCAAATATAATTTGTACACACCATTTCACATCGATAAACATATTTTTTAAACATGTATTTTTATCCCTTAGAAGATTTATTGCTGTACTTTTTAATGATGAGCCCAAATATATGTTTCATAAAAAAAAAATTATAAAAAATCAATATTTTAAAATATTAAGTAAATTCGTGTTTAAGAATCCAATAATCCTAAATGTTTTCAGTGTTTATAGAAATTTGAACCCTCTTTTGCCAGGGGAAAGTAAAATACCGCATTTTCATTTTGTGATACAAAAAACGTTTGTTCTCTTCCTCCACTGTTTAACTCTCCTCCAGAGTATATGAGCAAATCTCGAGTTGTTTTTTGTTTTTTTAGTGTCGACGGAGTTCCAGAAACAAGTACAATAAGAAATAAATCAAGTATTTGAACAGTTTTTAACTAAGGCAAAAATGTATCGAAATTACTAATTCTTTGACTGTCACTCGAAAAAATCATAATTGTTTTTATTATTTTTTTTTTTTAAATAAATTTGAGAAGTATTTAGTATGAAAGTTGGCATAAAATACAGCATATCTGTGACGTTTCAAGAGTGTGCGACTAAATTAAAAAAAATGACAGCATACAGAAGATCTGTCTCAGATATTTTATAATATTTGAAATTCAAGGATTTTTTCATTTTAAAAGTTTAAGAAACTCAAAATGTCAACATTAAACGGTGAAAATGTTTTTCTTGCCAAAACTATGATGGTAAGATGATGCCAATATTTAATTACTTTTAAATAATAGGACTTTTAAGTTAAGGCGTGCGTGTAAACGTGTTAGCTGATTGTTTATGGTGCTACGGGGCGTATACGTCACATACACAGCTACGGGCATATGAGCACAAGTTGTTATTTTTTTTACTTTTTTTAGTATACCTTTTTTAAGTTTTTTTAAATACAATTTCCCGATGGATTTTTATGCAAAACTGAAGATAATGCATTTTCTAAGATAAGTGTGCCACCATTTTTGCTAAAAGAAACGTTTTTGTTAAAAAATGTAACAACTCGTGAGATTTGCTCATACGTTCCACTGTGCTAGAGAAGAGGAGGCTTAACATATTCATCACAAACAAAGTTTTTCTTCTTTTCGTTTCATTTGCTGCATTCAATGATACAGCAATGACATAATAAAAACGTTAAAAATTTTAAACTTAACTTTAAAAATATCAAATCACTCGCAAAAATTTTAATTTTGAATATATTTTCGGTGTAAAATTTTGCTTTAGAAAAACTATTTTTTTTTTAAGATTTTTGATAAAAATATCTATCTCTTCATTGTCATTTCTATTCATTTATATATTTTTTCATCTCTCTTCTAGATCGGCATTGTTATGTATCTACTGTACCTTAAACTGGGCATCAGCGCAATTATTGGTTCATTTGTATGCATTCTAACGATGACTCCACTGCAATTTCTAATCGGTCGCGCAATGTCTTTCAATACGGAAAAAGTAGCGGTAAGGACGCTAAGCTTAAATTCTCAATAAACCTAAAATCCAAGTCAACGCAATTAAACTATAGACAAATATATAAAACAATAAAAACTCTTAAATAATGGAAAATTTAATAAAAAAGGAATAAATTTAAAATAAAGCAAACATAAATAAATATATTTTTAAAAATTAAATGAAGTTCAAAATTAAATGTAATTTTGTTCTTTTTAAAACAATAATATTTAAAAGGTAAATTAAAAAAGAAAAAAAAATGATATCAAAAAAGATAAAAGTAGTGCTGAAAAATTAAAAAAAAAAATTAATAAATATTCTTATTTTTAAAACCAAATATTAAAATAAGAGGAAAGAAAATATAGAAAATGAAATTAACAAAAGAAAAACAGACTAAATTTTATAAAAGAAAAAAATAAAACAATTACATTAAAAAATGAAAAGAAACTGAAAAAATTAAATAAGTTTATAAAAATTTAATGAAATAAAACAAATATATTTTTCCTTTTAAAACAATAAAATACAAAAATTTAACTAACAAAAGAAAACAAATTAATTCAAAAAAGAAGAAATAAACAAATTAATATTCTTAAAATTGAATGAAATTAAAAAAAAAATCTCTTTTTAAAACAAGATTTTTGAAAAGAAAATTAAACTAAAAAAAAAATATTTAAAAAGGAAAAAAATATGTTTTCGAAAATTAGAAGAAATAAAAATATAAAATTTAAAAGAAAATTAAATTAAAAAAGAAAAAAAGTAAATTTAAAAAACGGACTTGAGACTGTTGTAGCGACGCGAGCTAAATGATGCACAAGTACTTTCTATCAAAGTAGCTTCTCACCACGAGTGGTGAATGCAAAAGCTTTTTTCTAAGACATATTATGTATGTACATGTAGAATGCTCAAGTATTAGTTCTATATGCGAGCCTATGAAGTGGCCAATCTGTAATAAACTTAAGAAAAGTTCTAAACGCATGTTACTTTTTGGTAATTTTGGTTAGAATTATTCATTTACTTCCGCTGGAAATTGTATTCTTTCTCACCCAGAATCGTGAAGCTGTGCTTAAGTCAATTATCTACTCATAAGAACGTTATCCATTGCGATGAGTACAAGGAATCGGAAAATTTTCTTAAGTTACTAAAATTAAAAGCGTTTTTTTTTTTTTTTTAATTCAAAACCACGCTAACGATCGTCGTTTATTGTCTCTTTCAGAAATGCGCTGATCAGCGCCTCAGGATGATTCACGATGTCTTAATGGGTATAAAAGCTATAAAATTTAATGTGTGGACGGAATCGTTTGTGCATCGTATTGATAAGACGCGCAAAAAGGAATTGAAATATTTATGCTGGGACTCTTTTTATTGGACATTAATGAGTAAGTGAAGTGTTTAAAAATTGATTAGTTATTAGTTATTTATAAATATTTCCCATTTTCGCAGCCATTCTCACACACATATCCAGCGTCCTCATTAGCTACGTCACGCTAGCCGCATATGTCACGCTCGAAGGCGATGCCATGGAGTTCACCGCCAGTCGTTTATTCTCCGCTTTGGCTCTTTTCCAACAGCTCACAGTGCCTCTACTCATATTCCCCATAACCGTGCCCATAATTTTGTCCGCCGTCGTGTCGACCCGTCGACTTGAACGTTTTCTTAGCGCACGTGAAATACACAAACAATTCGAAGGTATACGTCATATGGCACGCATTCTCAGCAAAAGTGACGCCTCACTGGACTACTACGAGGTGCAGGACAAATTAAACAAGGAAGCGGCGTTAAGTGAAAGCGGCAGCGGTGATAGCCGCGGCTTAGGTTCGAATAGTGAAAAGCAACGCGTGCAGCGTGAGAATAAATTAAACGAACGTCTAACGTTAAAACTGCACATACCGGAGAGTCCAGCGCCATTGGCGCATTCAGAACCGCAAACGCCACTGATTGCGTCCGACGCAACAGCTGTTGATAAGAACTTGCTTACGCCGCGACGTAATAGCGAAGAACACTTGCTGGGCAGCGCTATGGGTCGTAAAATGAGTCAGCAGCGACGCGATTTGCTGCGTAATAGCCCCTATGTAGTGATACGGCCACGTAAGTTTCCCGGCAGCGCCACAGCGCAGGCGCATGCGCAGCTGACGCCGGCACAGCAGCTGGCGCATAAGCATATGGATTCGTGGAGTCGTGATTCGTTGGTGTTGAAGTTGCCGGACGATATGGCGGTGTCGGTACGTGATGCATGTTTCTCATGGCATCCGCAACGCGGCGACGAGACGCAACGGCTGAGCGTGCACAATGTGATAGTGCCGCGTAGTAAACTCACTATAGTGGTGGGTAAGAATGGCAGTGGAAAGACGTCGTTGTTGTCTGCATTGCTGATGGAGATGCCGTTGCTGCGGGGCGATATCATCTGGAATAAGTGAGTACACAAGAGTAGTGTGAGATTTGATGATAGCTGAGTAATTCATTAGAAGAGGGATAATTTACAATGTGACCATGTTAAGCCTTTTTGAGGCTAGATTTAGCAACGGTGTTTATGGAACAAAGCTAGCGTGGTATTGCGTAATCACTAAATATTTCGTTAAAATTTTAACCTTCTAAGAGAAGCCGAATAAGAAGGTATACATAATTCCCACTTACTGTTTATATACAATGAAAAAGTGAATAAGGTCTACACCAAAGCCTCGGGGTGCAAATTTCATTTATGTTTCGTCCGAATTAAATTTATATTAATTGTATCTAATTTTAATTTGATCGGCTTTCAAAAATTTCTCTTTTTCTCAAAGTATGTACATATGTATTTACTTCAGATATTTACTTAAGCATTCATGTACCAAAACTAAAAAATTAAAACAATAAAAATACACAATTGCATGGATATGTGTGTGCTTGTGAATGGCAATAATAAATTCTCACCTATGTGGCAATTTATAATAGCAATTGAAATTATTGCATACTCGCAAATGCCAAACATACACCAATACACGCAGAAATAGGATATGTGTGTACATAAAAAATGGAGTTATGCCTCAGTTATAGTACACACACATCATTCACTAATAAAAAAAATACACTTTTACTATTCACATAACTACAAATGTATGTACATACATATCTACATATATAGAAAGTATGCAGTTGCACATTTGCACACAATTGTAATTTCCAGCATTGCGCACAGCGGCTGTAGCCGCACATTTCACATACTTATAGGTACATATACTTACGGTGACCATCCGTTCTGTAGGTATTTTACGGGACAGTCCTCTTTTTTGACCAATTGTCCTGGCAGTTAATTTCTTTTATACGGAACGCCAAATATTCTGTATTTGTCTCTTAATTTTCTCCATAAACAGTTATTATTTTCTAATCTGAATGCCTGTGATTTGAATCGAGGAATACATACAGTGACCAAAATATAAATTAGGATTCTACATTTTAGCGAGTTTTGGGCTATTTTCTGTTTGTTTATTTAATGTTTATTATTTTTAATTAAATTAAGAATTAAGTCTGCAAACTTTCATCAAAATTTCAAACTTTATAATCAGAACCTTTAGACAAAAATTTGGTTGCAGCTTTGTGGCTCATTAAAATTGAGTATAATAAAGTGCAAGTGCAACGTGCTGCTCATTTGCTTCCCTACCAACAAATTGTCGAGCATACTAACTTTGTATGAAAAAAATGCGTAGGACCGTCGACAAAAAAAAAAAAAATAGCCAAAAATTAACGGAGCAAAAATCTCGAGAAGGATATGCTACAGATTTGTGATATTACTATAAGGATGCTGTTTCAGGGCTAATACATACATCTAAGATCATTTAAGAAGAAAAAAATTTGCAAAATTATTTTCGGTGCCGTATTCGGCTCGCATAAATATGCTACCGTACATATACTGTATGCAGCCCCACAAACATAGATTTCCTTATTTTTCCCATCTTATGGACTTATTGCATTTACTATGTGCTTTTGCCACAGCTTGAAGTCAAACACCACACATTCGCAGTTACGCACATAAAATACAGCATACCAATCAAACTGGCCGTTTGTCTGGCAGCCTGTCTGACTTGCTCAAGCAATTTACTGACTAACCTACTTATATAGCTTAAATTCATTCCATTTTTTTTTTTTGTTTTGCCACTTACATTCTTCCTGAAGGCTTTCCTCTCTCCTCACATGCAACCCACTACCCTGCTGGCTGCAATCTTTAGTGCCTGAAATCTTTGCTGCATGTTCAATGCAATCAAATTAACATACAAACATTTGTTATAAATTACAATGACGTGCTGCGCATGGAAATGGCCGAACAAATATGTTGAATGAATGACTGCTGCATTTCATTGCGTTTTCATATCACTATCGCTGCGAAAGCAGTGGTAAAATAAAAAAACGAGTAAAACTTGAAGGGTGTGGCTGCACTGTATGGTTAATCTGTGTATGAATGTTAAAATAGGTGCGTGTTTGTGTGTGCGCGAGTAGGGATAATGTGATTTAAAAAATAACAATAATATTTAATGCGAAAACTGAGTGTATTTTTTTTGGTACAGCAGGGCGTATGAGTAACGAGCGCGCCAAAGTGAAGTGATTCAGTAAGTTACATGCAAGCATATACATATGTACATATGTAGGTACAAAATTACGTACATATGTGGTGCCAACTTCATATTTTTAGCACTATTTTTGCACTACATGAAATTGAAAAAAAAAACCATGAAAGCGATTTTTTTAGGGTACAACTTTACTTTGGTGATAGTGCCTTTGGCGTGGTTAAGCGAGATTTTACCATGTCAGCTTGAATTTGATAATAACATTAAAGAGAGGAAGTTAGGTAACGGTGCTTGCGTTTGGCATCATTAGGAAAACGTGTGATATGAATATCTACTTGGGCAACCTAATATTAATAAGTCCACTTAACCTTTTCAGTACCAACGTCCAATATATTCGACAAACTGCTTTTGGCTTAAAGCTATAGGTACTTTTCGTTAAAACAACAGTTGCTTAGAGCAAATTATATCAATATTTTTTTTATTACATTTCTATGATTGAATTTTCTGGATGCGGTTGGCCGTGTTTTTTTTTCATAAAAGTGAAAAGTGTTTCAATAATCGATAAAAGGCAGTGTAATCTAAATTGTGAAAAAAATTTAAGTATTATTAATCGCTTTGAAATACATATATTTCGTGCTACAAAAAATAGAAATAATTGAGATAAGTTCCTTTTTTTAAACACCTACGGCAACACTGTCCAATATTATGGATGCTGAATAACGGTAAAACTAAGCGTTATATTATACTTTTGATTGCACATTTTGAAATCAACAACCCTAAATTTGCCGGTATAAAATTGTTCAGATTTTAAGCTTCAATGTTTGATTTTTTTAAATCTATCGGTCATTATATTGGTATATATGGAATTATATCCAGTCCACCTTTTAATGCATGCCAAAAGAGCTTCTTTCATTTCCTAAAATTTATGTTCAGTTTTTAAAGGATTAAAAATTATGTCCAGCTTTTAAATAACCATAAACAATATCCAGATTTTTTATTTCTTACAAAATATTTCGAGTTTTAAATGACCAAAAATTTATGTCCGATTTTTAAATAAACAAAAAGTTATGTCTAGACGACCAAAAATTGATATCCAGTTGTTGATGTATCTTAGTAAATATTACAGTCTCTAAAATTACTAAACATTTTTGATCAGTTTTTGAATAATTAATAAGTTAAGACCGGCTTATAATTTACCATAAATAATGTTCAGGGTTTTTACTTTTAAAATATTCCACATTTTTAAGTAACAAAAATGTAGGCTCGGTTTATAAATAACGAAAATTATGTCTAGCCTTAAGACGACCAAAAATGTATGACCTGGTTTTAATTGACTAATAACTTCTGTCTAGTTTTTAGATTACTAAAAATTTGTATCCATTTTTTAAATTGTCGTAATTTATTGATCTATGATTTGAGTCTCAAAGACTAATATTTTTAGCCATAATAAATTCCTGCTAGGGATTCTCAAAGCTATGTAGTAAACTTAGTTAAAAGAATTTTGATATTTTCTCTGTATAACAAATTGATTTTTTTTATAATGAATGCCATTACACGATGAAGGATATAAATATGTGATCTTCAATGCATAGATATTAAATTAATAAATTTAATGTATGTGTGTATATACCAACTCTTAACATCAATTCAATAATTTACGATTTTGAAGTTTTTTATTTGCATTCAATGCATTTCGTAAAACTTGTAAAAACTCAACATGCTGAACAAGGAAGAGCCAATAAGATTCGAGGAAAAATGTCGTATTATTGCTTGCCAGCTAAATAAATGGGTTTCGCGATAAGTTGTGCGCTTTTCAATACATATATTAAGCAAATAGAACTACAAGCACACACACAAACATACATACATATATAAATATGTATATATTTACATATATGCCTCATGAATGCTGATGCACACAACAGCACTTACATATCTTATTACCTGCGCCATACATACATATATATATCGATTTCGGTGAATTGTAGGAAATATAAATTTTCCTTACAAGACGTAAGCGCTTTATAACTAGCTTGTGCGCTCCTTTCGTTCACAGCGTAATACACAAATTGTGCGAAAACTTTAATTAAAATGCGCAAAGAGTGCATTGGTGCGGTGACTTTGGCATGTACGGACGTGTTTAGGTGGTGGGGGGGGTGTATTGATTTAAGTGGAAAATTTATTGCGTATTGCATACTAAAAATTCATTGTGAGCATAGTTAACTTTATTTGTGAATGTAATGTAATTTATATGAAAGCTATTTTTTTTTTGTAAGTTAAGACTTTTTTAGTAAATAACTGGCAATTTGTAGCTTTAAATAAACCAGTAAGAATTCAAAAGATTTTTCACTGAAAGTAAGAGGTATCTTTTGCTAAAATATAATAAAAACGCTGTTTGCATTTACTTTCAACTCATACTCGTACAAGTCATGGTACGAAAATTTTTAACAAAGTTTTGCAATTTTTTTTATAAAAATTTACATTTCAATAAATTTACTATGACTGTTTCGCTATGCTTCATACATACATATACATATGTATAGATACATAATACTGATTTAAGAAATTTTGAGAGAAGAACATTTCTTTGCCGTTTCTGGTGCGTCGTTTTATAAGAATATGTTGTTTTTATTTAGAGCTGCATTCGTTAAGAAATCTATAGAAGCAGTGTTTCTTTGAAATATCTATAGACCCCCAGTGTTCCTAAAATACGCTATTCATAACACCGTGCGAGATTAAATTATACTCAAAAAGAAAATAAAAAATCAATATATTCGCGAAACTCTGGGCCAAATATAGTAAAATTGCGCTTTTAGTTTTTCCCTCTGTTTAATCTCTCTATTTAATTAAATTAAAAATTTAATTAAAAAAATCAGTGCAACGTAGAAAAAGGGTATAGTTCTCAAATTAAAAAGAAAATTCTATAGAATTAAAGCAAATTAAATAAGGACGAGCAGATATTGAAAATGTCCTTTCAAAATTTTCTCCTTGAATAACCTTGAAATTTTGTAATATTTATTTTTGAAAAACTAAATATGTCGAATTTCGTCCTTCAAACTTTCTAAGTTTAAACAAATACAACTATTTAAGAGGTTTTAATTTTTTTTTAATATATGTACACAATACTTCTAGAGTAAAATGTGAGCGTCATGAGCGTCATCCTCTAAATGGATACGTAGAAACGTAAGGTTTGGCACCAGCACCTCTTTCTGCAAGAGGAACAATTTTGGAAGGTGCCGCAAACCCCATCGGGGAAAACAATTTTTTGACCACTCTAATGTACACACTAGGGTGATTGAATTTGAAAAAACTCTTTTAATATTGCTGGTACTAGAAATTTAATCATGAAAATTCTCTAAGCACTCGGGGTCAGAAAAAATGCAATAAATTATTAAAAAAAATTAAAATAAGACCAAACGGGAATTTCTCACTGATGTTTATTAGCTTTGCTTTTGATTTGAAAAAAAAAACAAACGTTTTTTGCATTGCTCTTTTCTAAATAAAAGCTATGCATCTTTACTGTTAATAGTTTTGTTGTATTTTTTGTTCATGGCTTCATACCTGCATAAGCATTTTTACTGTACAACCGTTAAACTTTCTTAATTTCAAAATAGGTGTTTTTTTTTTTACAATTTTACGAATAACTCCAAAACCGGTTTTAGAAAAAAGGCAAAATAACCGAGCATCCTAGTACATACGCATGTTCTACTTAAAAGCCCCTACAAGATGTCCTACACATTTCAAAACAATGCATATTTAATGACATATGCGCATAGAATTTTACAGGAACACACATAAAAATGTTAGCTGCAATTTTCAAGTTGAAAAAATCTCATCGTTTAGTTATAGGCAGTCGTATGTACATACATATGTATGTACATTTACATATATTTTGTTACTCATACGCCATGGCGGACCCTACCCACACCAATTACTTACAATTGCTAGTCTTTGTCCTATAAGATTTGAATAGAGTATGTAGCACTGATTTTCTATACTTCTAAGTTCAAACTTTTGTTATTAATGCAGAGACATTTACACATACATATGCCTTTACTCGCATTAGACATATTCCTAGAGCATTGCATGTTATTACGAAATTTACATAACAATACGACGAGCGTGCCAAGAAGCATTTGTAAGCACAGAGCAGCCATACTCGAACAAATAGAAAGGTTTCTAATAATATTCAAATGGCTTAGAATACAATGAAAATTTGCCATATTGTCTCGCCAGCCAAAGTGCAATGAAGGTACTATGTATTTCACTTAGATTTAGATGAATGCTGGTCAGCATGTGCATATGTATGTATGTAGATAGTAGGCATACGTGTATTATTAAATATGCGATGACATATTCCTGTGAATTGATGTGACACACATACATATCTACATAAAATCGTATGTGCAAATGTCTACTATTTTGTCTCATTGCAATTCAAGACCAAGTTAACTACGCTTACCTCCTCAACTGACCCAGTTTCAATGCAACTGTATATGTACGTACAGCAGATCACATCAGTTGGCACTGAGCTTACACCAGAAAATTGAAATTAAATTAAATTTAAGTAAAAGAAATTCAATTGAAAATGCCAAATTGGCTTATATGAAATCGCATTTACATTTAGCCATTTATTTTAATAATTTTGTTTTGCTTTTAAATTTCATGATCTGCACACATACACAGCTATGTATTAAGCATTTAAACTTTCGCCTCTTTGAGCTTTTCGCTTTGTTTCATTTTCGTTTAATTTTCAATAATTTTTCGTCTTTCTTTTTTCACCCAGAACTTCGACCATTGCTTTTGTGCCACAACAACCCTGGCTGCTCAATGCTAATATACGTGAGAATATTTTATTTGGTGAATCATTTCGTCCACGGCGTTATGATTTCGTATTGGAGGCGTGTGCACTGAAACCGGATATTGAACTGATGCCGGATGCGGATTTTACGGTGATTGGTGAGCGTGGCATTAATTTGTCGGGAGGTCAGCGACAGCGTGTAGCCATAGCGCGTGCACTTTACTCGTCGGCCAATGTGGTGATAATGGTATGTTTATGTTAAACCACAACAACATCAACAAAGTACAGTGAGAGAAACAACAACAAATGAGAATTATCGCAGAAAATACTGTTAAGTAGAAAGAGCTGCCGGCAGCCAGTTTGTTATGAAAGTAGCACTTAGCGCACAGGCGGCTAGGAAGCGGGTTAAATTGGATTGTCTGGTTAAATGGAGTGTATGTGATTTTGCGTTGGCGTTGGCGTTGGCTTTGGCTTTGGCTTTGGTTGTGCTGGCGCTAATGCACTGCTGAGCGCTGTGGGTTTGTTTACTGGTTTGGCGCTTAATGAAAGCTGGATTGAGGTGAAATAAGGCAATGATTTTCTGCAAGTGACTTTGTAGTGTCTGTAATCTTTTGTAAATCAGTTGTTGTTAAAACTGCCGGATTATTCGGAAATTATGGAGTACTTCTATTTAAAGTATAACAGTATAATTTCAAATGGAGGCGACAATGCGAAACAATAGGGACGTTGCATAAGGCTTCTCGTTTGTATAAAATTCCAAAGGAGCCTTACAGTGGTATAGGCCTCCTATGAAGAAAAGATGCCAACTTTACGAACGATAACGGGGAGACTCTATATCACCTGCTTTAAGTGCATTTCCCAGGCTCTTTTGTGGAGCATGATCTGATGACCTCCATCTCCTCGGAATACAGGTTCACTAAAGTGGGAAGTCTTAGCAGATCCGGCTCCATCTTTGACAGGGTACGACGGGCTGTAGAGTATTTCGAACCCTTCGAAGTTGTAGGTGGAGATGGGATTTTTTCAACACTGCTACGAAGAAGTGTCGAGGACTTCATTAATCCTCTGTGCGTGTTATTTATTGCTAAATCGGGTGAGAGGCCGCCTGACTTGGCTAAATCATACATACCTGTTTGCCTAACTTCGTTCACTCTCAAAACTTTAGAAAGACTATTATACCTCCATATTAGAGAGCGCTTTCACCCCTTACATAAAATATGCTTATGCCAAAGAGAAACTAACGGATTCGGCCTTAAAATATCTGGTGCTTAACCTTCGAGGCGAGAAACAAGCAAAAATAATACAGCTAGTACGTAGAAACTCTCGAAAAATTTGGTATAAAATACGAAAAGTGATAAAAATTCCAAATAGACCCTAAAATAATCCAGAATTACCTGTAACAGTGCCCAAAGCCCCGGAAAAATTCACCAAAAGGCAGGATAAGCCCGACAAGTTTCTTGGCATAAAGAGGTCCTGAAAAAAATCTCCAAAGTCCCGAAAAATCTCAAAATGTATAGAATTATACTTGAAAACAATGAGTGTTCCTTTACAGATCCGAGAGTCACATAAAATTCGAGGAAAATTGTCGAGAAAGTTCCCAAAAGAAGATAATAGTCCCTCAATTAATCCAGAAGAATGTGCAGTAGTCATCAAAGCAACCGGGAAAAATGCACGAAATGTCTTGAAGATCCCGAAAAGTTTCAAAAATAATAGAAAAATGCCGAAAAGTTATGGAAAAGAATCCCGAAAGTTCCAAAAAATCTCGAAAAGTATGGAATTAAACTTGAAAAATTACAAGGGGTTCGGGAAACCCTAAGAGCTTTCAAAAGACCGGTGGGCCCCGAAAATTTCCCAAAAAATCCAGTTCCCAAGAAGTCCGTAATAAAACACAATCGGCCTTATCGTAAAATTCATGTGAGCAAATATTCCTAAAAATTATAAAGCAAAACAAAAACAATTTCTCACAATTTGCTTTTGTTTTGCATGTTAAATTATGGGAACGATTTATTCACATGAAATTGGCAATAAGGCTGGAAAAGTCATGAAAATTCCGAAATGTATGCATAGCCCAAAAACTCCGCAAAATTACTAACAGTACCGAAAATCCTGAAAGCTTCCGGAAAAAACACCGAAATTTCTGAAAAAACCTCATTGGTAATAAAGTTCGGAAGTTCGTACAATACAAAACAATACAAAAAAAAAAACAACAAAACAATTATCAATATTTACAGTTTCAACTGTAAATCACAGTTTTTTAGACAAGCTTACATTAACATCCTGGTAAAAATAACAGTTTCGTCCAAAATTTAATATTCGAAAAAATAAATTAAAATATCTCTTTTGGTTTTTTGAAAGTAAATTTTTTAGTAAAAAACCACCGTATGCAGGGTTTCCTCTTTTGGATAAAAGAGCTCAGCTGTATTCCAATCATACGGTTAAAAAACCTTAACATTCCAAAAATTCTTTCGGTTTTGAAAGTTACAGTTTTTTTTGAAAATAAAATCTGGCAACACTGAGCATAAGTTTGACTAAATTATGTACATACATATGTACATATATTTTAGTGGGTCACTGAAGCCTTACTCGAGCTCGTTCAATCGATGTTGAATGGCTTTTGTGCCGACAATGATTAGTTATCCAGATGGAAACGCATTTCTTCTTAGAGAAAGAGAAGGTAAAAGGTTGCGAAATGATATACGAGGAAATTTATTTAGTCGGCAAGACTTTATTTGTATGATTAAATTTCATCAAGCTGTGGCTATGGATAGATGGCATCAAGCACCAGCCGTTTTGGTGCTATGGGAACTTGGGGTTTCCTCAGTTTGAGAACTTGGAGAACGTCACTATGGAGTCGTGAGTCTAAGCACCGCGTAAAATCTCTAAAAGCGTTGATATCCTATACATTGCCTTCTCTGATTCTGCTTAAGTTTCGAATTTCAAATGATGTACTACATAAATATGTAATGTCAAGCTCAAAGCTTCCTGTTCTGATTGAAAAACAAAGCTATTATTTTTCACCGATCAGTTTAACAGTCAGAGCTATAAAAATTACTATGCATTAAAATTATTATCAGGCACCTGGTTATTAATGTTGACATTACTTTGAACATATTTTTGGTTATGGCAGAGCAGAAGTAACATAAAATGGGAACCATTTTCCTAAAGTTAATCTTTTGTATACAGTTTACAACTAAAGTTCTCTTTTGACACACCGACCTTGATGAATTTTTGTGCTTGCAATCAGCCAAAGTTCTTTGTATGTATATTGAAAAGCACCGTCATTGTCAACAAGTTATAAAAAAATATTTAAACTGGCAACTAACTTGCACTAAGGCAAAATATGATACAATGTAACTAGTATCTCTATGTGTGCTCAACGCTTCATATTTTTATATGCATTTTTTATGCGCAAATTTATTTTATTTTCAACTAGTATTCTAAGTTAATCTTTCTTCTTTACTTTTTTATTATTTGTACTTTTTCATACTGCCGCTCAAAGGATGATCCTTTCTCATCGCTGGACAATGAAGTGGCACGTCATATTTTTGAGCAGAGCATACAACGTATGTTGCTAAAGGCGAAACGTACCGTTATATTGGTGACACAACAGTTGCAACTGACACAGCATGCGGATTATGTAAGTAGTGGAGTGAGTCAATAAAAAAGAACGACAGTTTTTAGCGTACAAAAGGAGGGAACTAATTTGGCAAGATGGAAGAAAAAACAAATTAAAATTAAGGTCTAATTGGATTAGACAAATTGTGAAAGGACAAAGCAATTGAGTTGAAATTAATATTAAAATTTGAGTTGTGAGTGTTATGATTTGTGAAGATATGAATAGAAACCTAGCCTGCGCCTTATTATATCTTTACTAGAACCCTATATGTGACAAGTACATATATTTGTTAATTAAAGTAGACCGCTGTAGACTTATAAACAAGTTATCAATGTTAAATATTATTAAGCTGGAACAGCGTGCGACGGCCAATTCGTCTGTTGTTTGTTGTTGTGGTGGTCTGTCGGAAGTCGAATACGGATATAAAGGATACTGTAACTAATATATATGTGCATCATCAATAAGCATGTTGATGAATGCCAAAAAAAATTTCGAAAAAAATATCAATAAAAACCAGGTGTAAATGCCACTGAAAAATTACGTGTATCGGAGTACACAACAAGTAGAATCGACGTCAATAAATATAAAGACGACGAGATCGATAAGTATGTTGTTAATCGCACCGCCCTGAATATGAGCACGAAATGTCGCTACTTGTGCGGCAGAAATTCTACAGTTTAACTCAGAGCTAGAATGCTTAGCCAAGGATAATAAAAAACTCTCGCTGCCTCAGGGACTGACGAATAAAACACCGAAAATCATGTTCATTAAAAATAGCAAGTCTTTACCTTGCCAGAGCGGAACAGTGGCGGAGATAGTGTTTTATATTCTCCACCACCTCGTCGCCCCTGCAGGCATACGACAGAAATCGTTAGGCCATTTGGCAGTGTCCTGCAATTATATCGACAACCATGCTAATAATGGGGTGGCCGATTTGTATAAGAGTTTTGGAACTTTTCGTATTATAACATATGGTCAGATCTGTTTTATAACGGAACATGATGGTTCTTTCGCCCAACGACGTCTGCTCTCTGGCGCGTAGTTTTCCGGTATTCCACTGTGCCCGAGTACCCATACCAAGTTAGGCAAGCCTCCCTTATAGCTGCTAACTCGGTCTGAAAAACGCTGAAGTGGTCAGAGAGCCGCCCTGCAGGGTGTCCGGGTGGTACCCTCTCTAAAATGATGGGGGAACGTTTTTTTTTTTAGTAAAAAACGCAAGAATATGACCTACCACATTAGGGATGCTCTATCTTTTGGTAGTATTACCGACTTCCTGTTTCGGCCGGAAGTGGGTTAAACTCACTGGAACTACATTTTTTCAAATTAGGCATACAAGTTTTTACTACAGATTCGGATTCTGAGCATACAAATACGTATTTTTTGTTTGAAAATTTTTTCTCGGAGCTGCCTCTTTTCGAACTTCAATTCATCCTAAACGTCTGAAAGGAGTGAAAATGTTTTTATTGGAAAACGAAAAAAAACATGAATTACTAATTATAGGATGCTCTATATTTTGGTCGTTTTAACGACTTCTGGTTTAGACCGAAACTGGGTAAAACAGAAATGGATTTCTGGTTAAAACAATGGATTTAACCAGAAGTCCATTTAAAAAAAAAGTTTTCAACAAATGTTACGTATTTGTAGTTCATACTATTGCGTTTTTCAATAAAAAACATTTCCCTCTATTTTCGAGTGGGTGGTCTAAGATACCCTGTATTTATATATGTAAATATATGTATGTAGTTATATATTTTTAACCGACTTCATAAAAAGGAGAAAGGTTAGCCATTGGTCGGAATATTTTTTTCTTTATGTACATATGTTACCGATTTTCTTTTTTTAAAGTGGTCCCATACTAATTTGTTTTAAATCCGATTATTGGATCGTGAAGAAATTAACGATAATCTTAAATTTTTATATGAGAATTGATATCGTTTTTGTTTTTTTGCTTAAAAATTACTTTTTCATTTTTAACTTATTCAAGCTAGATACAAAAAATATCTGTAATTTTCTTTTTAATACTGTCTTTTCTGTGCATCCTTTGCTGTCATCAATATCTAACTCACCAACAATTCACAGTTAATTGTCATGAAAAACGGTCAGCTGCAGGCCACAGGCGATTACAAGGAAATCGAATTGAAATATCCGCATATCGTTGCCAAATGGCAAACAGTAATTGCCAAAGTCAATCAGCAGGCAGAGGATGAAGAGAGGTAAGCAAGTACTACATTGTGCATGCAGGGCATATATTACAATTTGAAAATGATCTGTGTTATGATTACATTTTCTAAAATACCTAAAGTACCGACTATAAAAGTCAATGATATCAAATTCAAACTATTTAAATTGCTTTATTGAAAATTTGTAATGCTGCTGAAGTTTTAAAATATGGATCTAATGACCAACGTTTAGATATGTATGTATGTTTATGCATGTTTATGCATGTATACGCATGTATGCATAAATATTTCAAAACTTTCTTTCATCACTTCCAAATTCGCGTTTTGTAACTTTTGCGCAAAGTGAATTTTTGTCGAGGATGATGATGCTGAATTTTTCATCGTCGTCAACATCAGCTTCATTACACTTATTGTTTTCTTTGCATAATTTCTGGCGTAGCAACGTGGCTGCTGCAGGGAGAACAGCGCGTGAACGTTGGAAATTATACCAGAATGTTGCGAAATTAGGCCTGCAGCGCACAAAGTCCAGCAAAGTTGTGGCAACAAAAATAAAGGCGAAAGCAAAAGTAAATAACGCTCGTACAGAGTTGCGCGAAATTGTTTTGGATATGAATGAAGGCGTTGGAGGCGATATGGCTTCCGCTGGCGATGCAGTTGTAGCGATAACTGGCCGTGAAGTTGGTCTGGCAGCGATTGCTGACAAAGCTGACGACATGACTACTGCTGCGGTTGTTATGGACAACGTGGCTGAGTTTGAAGAAGTTGAGACTGTGGAGGATGAAGACGATGACGATGACGGCGACGGCAACGGCAACGGCAACGGCGATGACGATAGCGATGACGAGGACAATGAAGATGAAGAAGAAGATTTGATGCCTGTGGTGAGTTGATGTGATTGTACGCAGTCAGTGTTACAAGTAGTAATTATTTTGTAGTTGAGTGCTGTGCTGTGCTTTGAAGTTAGCCTAATATTTTTGTTTGTTTGCTGTTTATTTTGAAATAGAATTAGAAATTAGTTTTAAAACTAATTTGCTTTAATTATTCAAGAGAAAAGATCGGAAAAACAACTATTGAAAGAAGAAATTTTGAGAGCGGACATTTTTTTTTTTAATTTAGTCAAGGAACTGTTTGTGGCTTCAGTTTAACTAAGAAAATTGTTAAATTCAAACCTGTTAATATTTAAAAACATAAAAAACTTAAAAAACGATATCTTAAACAATTATATTTTTTGTTTTTTCAATAAAAAAAAAAAATATACATTTAAACAAACATTTGGCATAGTAAAAATTCTCATTTCAAAGAACTGCGTAGCTCTGAAATGAAAAAAGAGTAAGGTCAATTACGCAAAGAGAGTATAAGAGGCTTATTCGCTCTTCGAAGAGCACAGCTTTTAAAGAATACTGCAGCAGGATTGAAACCTTGGGTCAAACGACAATACTGGTAAAAGTTCTGAAAAAGGACCTAACCACAAAGCTAGGTGTTCCCCCAAGAGGCCTGATGGCTCTTACAACTTGTTGGACTGCTGACTGGTCATTTTACGTGGCACAAACATCCGATTGTGATAGGCGTACATGACAACTCCTTTTGCCCATCCTGCCTTGAAGAGGTTGAGACGGTGAGCCACTTTTTGTATTTCTGCCCCCCTTTCGCAAAAATTCTTGTACACCTGAGTTCTTTGACACTCAACAATACGCTTACGGTTATTCGTAAGTCGTGCAGATTTAAAACAGATTAAATGGGACAAGTAAACTGTACAATGAACGGCATGTAGTCTGAGTATTTTTTTCTGCACGCGTTGGTTTGCGCCTGGGTCCTACAAGAAAAAAGGTCAATTACAAATTTAAAATATGTGAAAAAAATGGTTTTGAATAAAAATGAAAAAAGTCTATTTAAATTATTAATGTCTCATCTCTTTAAATTTCTTTCAATTGCTGAAAGATATGTTTGAATTTCAGAGGAAACTTAAATATCAAATTATGTATGTATGCATATACCAAAAGTATATAAAAAATTTAGATTTTAGATCTTTAAAATTTTAAAAAATATTTACCAAAATTAATATATCACTTAGTAAACAAATAAAAAATAAGAATTAATTCAAAAAGAATATTTTTCCCCAATCTATTTTGAATAAAAATTACAAAAAAAAAATCTTTATTTGCATAGAATGCATTAGAAATTATACAGGATATAAATTACACAGGAAAAAATAAAAAAATAAAATAAATAAGAAAATAATAAATAATTCTTAATTCTCTTAGAAAATCTAAAAATGAAATATACGCGTACATACTTTATAGTATATTAGTAAAAGTGAGATGGAAAAATTATTAAATACCTTTAAAAAACTAAGAATAGCACCGAACGCGTTTTATAAAAAAATAAAAAAAAAAAACTGATTATAATGCAAATCGTTTTGTCAGATTTAAAATAAACCAAAAAATCCTTTTCCAGTCCCTTCCATCGATAAGTCGTTGTCGCAGCGGTAGCACGTACATAAACCGCATTGGCAGCATACACTCCGCCGGTTCCGGCTCGTCGCTCAGCACCATCGGTGGTCGTACGCCGCTCAGTCGTCAGCGCTCTAGCCTGTATGGGTCGCGCCACCTCTTCTATGATGCTCCACTGCCTATCGATGAATGTCAAATGGAGGATGTGATTTTGAGGCGACGTCGACGTTCTCAACGCTACCGGCGAAACTCTCAACAAGACCCACAACGCCCCATTTCACTCATCTCCACCGGCAGCAGTCGGCTGAGCGGCGTCAGCGCATCAACCACAGTTTCAGCTGAGCTGCGACGCAGTCTCTTCACAAACAGCTTCGGCAGCAGTGCACCCAGTTACATGAGCGGTGTTAGCGGCAATAGTATGTTGTCAGTGGATACTGGCGTCGATGTAGGGGGCGAACCATTGCCAACGCGTACGCAGTCATGGCAGCCACAAAGCACTGACAATGGCGCTGTTGATGGGGTTCTGGCAAGAAAGGGTCATCAGAAAGTAGCGCGTAACAAATCTTCGCCTGGCTGTTTGGTACATAGCACACAACAGCAGCAAATGAAAGGAAATATGGATGCCGATAGCGGAGTAGGTAACAGTTTTCAACAGTTTTTGCGTCGCATGTCGATGCGTCGTTCAGCTGCACATCGCAAAGCGCGACCCGTTAGCGGTACAAACTCCATAAGGTAAACTATTTTTTGCTTATAGAGTGACTAATAATTCCTAGGGAAATGTGACTTTTTGTATCCATATTTAGAAGTATTACGGAGGAGGGCGCAACCAATCAAACGACATCTATCTCAAGTTCGGTACCTTCAATTGAGTTGAGTAGAGTAGCAACGCCTGAGGTAGCCGAAGATCTAAAGGATGCACCAATTTCAGAGGATGATAGTTGGATTGTTCATATCGAAAACGAAGAAGTAGCAGGTAAGAACGACCACTCGGATATTAAGATATAACAAATAGCCTTTGTTTAGTTTGTAACCACAAGCTACATATTTCCCTCCTAACCTGAATGGTATTGATTTTATTCGGATTTCTATTTTAATTGAATGATTTAGACTTGTCGATCTCCGTATTATTAAAACCCTGAGCAACCGCGGAATACGTTCCGAATCTCGTCGCTATTCAATTCCTGATGTGGTTGCGGTTGGTATAACCGCCTCGTGGTTGTAGATATCAGAATAGAAAAGTCAACTAATTTTTAGGTAGATTATGCAGTCAAATCGAGCTTCAAAACCAGGTGATGCGCACGGTCACACTTGGGTGGTGAGAGTGTCGGCACCGACTACTGCTGGAGTCTTTAGTGGTAGTGTGATAACAGGAGTACTTAGATTCACAGCGGGAATCGTCCACAGCCCGGTGTAGTGATTAATTCGGAAACTGGTCCCAACAATTTTCAGGGCCTTCCGAAGGCATCCACAAAAAAGGCTTCGGATAGGCACATGGAAACCAATATTTTGAAGACTCCGAAGGCGTACCCGTCAGATAGGTGCACGGTTGTATGAGCCGTGGTAGCTCTGGTAGTGCAGTCCAGTAGTGGTACCCAGTTCGAAACCGAATATAAGAAAGATGTCGCTTGCTCTAAACCCAGTCTTCAGTGTGTCTTCCGAACTACCTACGCAAAACCGACAACCATGTCGCTAAAGTTCTTCGACATGCTTTCTGAGGCTCAGCGAGTCATTTCTTATTGCCCATGGTACCTAGATAGATAGATAGATAGACTGAAATAGAGGCATACAATGCGGCCAAGATATCTATTATGCCCTCAGTTATTTACAGTACATCATATTATCGTAGAGAACCCCCAAATTTTAGGATATCTCCAGGGGCTAGCGATTGTATAAGTTCTTCACTTGGCCAGAGTGGCCTCTGCCGACTTCTCGAAACCACCTCGCGTTCGCGAAGCAGGTGCAAAGGAGGCTCCTCAGTCACGTCGCAGAAACCACATAGGTCGTGCGACCATATCCCAAGCTTGAGCAGGTGACTTCTTAGGCCGAGGCCACGCAATGAGCATACAGAAATTCCGCTCAGCCGCTCAGAAATGCCGCTCATTTCCTGGCCACTTCAATAGTATTTTATATGTTTTAATTTTAAGCCGCTAACCGCTCAGCCGATCACCGCTTTGCCGTTAGAAAATCTGTCACTATCCTTACCCTCTCTATGGGGAGGTTTATTATGACTCTGTACCTTGGAAGGTTGTAGGTTGGATGTCATTGCTCCGCCAGGTTGTTGTTCTTATCAATGCACTCAAGAATCAAGGAGGACTTAACCTCAAATGATCACAGGGCCTTGAGTGCCGCCTGGCTATCACTCAATATTAAAATTTGCTCATTACGGTAATGTCTATGTAGGTTAATCTCCGCACACAGACTTATGGCATAGACCTCCGCTTGAATGATGCTCGGGCACCGAGAGCTTTAGCCTTATTCCGTAGACGCCTACCCCAATGCCGTCGGGAATTTTGTTTGGTAAACAACCATTGCAGCGAGCTCGTTTGTTTATGCCGCAAGTCTTCCCTGCCAGACGTTTACATACCATTAGTGCCCTCGTAGTTTTGGAAGTGATTGCGTCAACATGCGCCTCACACAGAAGTCTGGAGTCTTGTATTACTCCTAGGTACCTGACTTCGGTGGCGACGTTGACGACGATCCCATTCAAGGTGATGTCCCTCATAACTCATAGAAAACGGGACAATAACTGTTTTGGAGCATCAAGCCTATACCCACGGACCAGCCTCTTGCTAAGATTAGTCCACTTTGAAGTACATATATGACAGAGATTACTCACGAACTTTCCTCTAGCAATAATCACAATATCATCGGTGAAACTCCGTAGGAGTTCGCCTACAGCCAGGCACCATAGGACAGAGGATAAAACTCCTCCCTGCTGTCGATGAAGGCACAAAGTACTGTCCTCCCGCACTCAAGTCCACCTTGTACTTCCGAAGACAGGGCGTACAGCGCAGTATCTGTAGATCTGCCCATTCTGTAGGTATGTTGGTCAGGGTGTAAAAGCGCCTGTTTAAGAATGTTGTTCCTGATTTCATGGCCGATGACCTTCTCCATTGCCTTTAGAAGAAAGGACTTGGCACTGATGTTGACGAGGTGTGGAAGTAGGAACTCCTTACCCTGCTTAAGCAATACTAGACTGATGCCGTCCACTCCAGGGGATGTATACTGACCGAAAGAGTCCAAGGTCCAGCAACTTGGATACCTAAATAGGAAGTTAATTTCTTTAAAAAAAAGCGAGGATTTTAAACCGCCTTTTCATTTTAAGGGAACATGCATAAAGTGTTTAAAGTTTGTTTGTAAATTTTAATACAAAAGCTGTTGATACAAAAAACTGAAAACATTCATTTCAATTCTCACCCACAGATGCGAGTATCGACTATAAAACTTTGACAAACATGACAAATACCGCAATGAACCGTGATGATGCCACGTCGCCAAAACGAAAATACACAATAAAGAGCAACAGGAGGAGCATTAAAAGGTCAGCAGGTAGTGGTGCTGCTGTAACTGCCAGCACGTCTGTAGGCTACGACGTCGAACGAAAATATGGGAAAATACCAGCCCACATCTATTTGTTGTACCTACGTGCGTCCGGTTGGCAAATGGTGACGATATTCTTTTTGACGGCTCTGATTTGGCAAGCTATGCGTGTTTATACGGATGTTTGGCTACAACACTGGACCGACGATGGTAGCACAGATAATGCCAACGCATACGATGGTAGTAGCGCTGGAGGCTACTGGGGGAAAGCTGATGGTATGACGATGATGGCTGTGTCACCACGACCATCACCACCATCCCCACCAGCAATGAAGAGATTTGATAGAATGGGAATATATGCAGCAGTGGCAACAGCAGCGACATCCAGGCCGGCGGCTGTCATCAACACTGCTTACAATAACACTAACAACAGTAATAGCAGCTACAACAATAATGACACTGACAATGGTCACGCCGAGGATGTCACGTATTATTTTCACATTTATTCGGCGATTTCGTGCGTTTGCATTGCAATGGCGGCGATATCGACACCAGCCGGTCAATTGGCTGGCTGCAATGCGCGCAGCAATCTACACGACCAATTGCTGTTGGCAATTATGCGAAAACCGTTGCACTTTTTCCAGGTGACCCCACTTGGACGACTGATGAATCGTTTCGGCAACGATATGGCCATCATCGATAAGGTAAATGGGGTGCGCAGGTGATGAAAATAAAGCGAAAGAAAAATTCAAATGAGTTGGTAAAAGATTAAAATAAGTTGAGAGAGCAGGGGGCGAGAAATTGAAATATTTTAACGAAATTGTATTCTTTGTATTTGATAGAAAATTGCTGCCACCAGCCAACGGCTGTTACAATTCTCACTACTCTGCTTATGCGCTGTGCTCATCAACGTCAGTATTACGCCCTGGTTTATACTCTTAACAGCGCCGATTTGTATTGTTTATTATGTCATACAGAAATTCTACAGGTGCTCAGCGAGGTAGGAGTCATTGGATTCCTCTAAGCTTTACAAAAAATAAAACTATAGTTTTTATTAATTCGCAGAGAATTGCAGCGTATTGAAAACTTAACCAGTTCACCGGTCATCTCTCACCTCTCAGAGACCATACAGGGTGTAACCACCATAAGGGCATACAATCAAGAGGCACGCTTCACCGAGATACTCTTCAAACGATTGGAAGCGAATACGATTGCATTTACGATCTTAAATACGAGTAATCGTTGGTTGGGCATATCGTTGGTATGTTATAATTTATGTTCCTACTTATCTTACTTCTCAGTGCCCTCTTGTGCGTACAAATAGAGGAAGGAAAGAAAACGCCATTGGTGTTATTTCATTAATTATTATAATTTCTTTTGTTTTCTCTTCTGAACAACCTTAGGACTTACTTGGCGGTTTTATTGTGTTCATTGCGATCATAACCGCTTTGATAGCAGCATCTATAAGTTGTAGTCGTTATAATAAAAAACTAAGCAATATTGCAACACACATTCGTACACCCGATTTGTTGACGCCTTCACCTTCATTGGTCGGGTTGGCAATCAACTATACTCTCCTAATACCGATCTATTTGAATTGGGTTGTCAAGCTTCTAGCCGATATGGAAATGTATGTGGGTTCAGTGGAACGTATTGCATACTATGCTGAAATTGATCAAAATATTGAAACACCGTTAGACATAACTTGTGGCGATACAGCTGCCAGTGAGAAAGGCAAAACAAAATCAGCTGGGAAATCGTCAAAAGATTCGTGTGTAAATTTTGAAGTGGCGCGTGTAGAGTTTTGTAAACCGAGGAGTTTATCGGTGCCGATGGTGTTGAGTAATTGTAAGTGTGATATGATAATATTTTATCACATAACTAGTACCCAGCTTTTAAGAAAAACAAAAATTTCATATTTGTGTATAAAACGCTTCAAGCAATGGAAAATAAATTTTTGTATCATAATAACTCAAATGTAATTATGTTTATTTCCTCAAAAAATTTAGAGTAAAAACAACGCAGCTTTTTCCTATAAGCTGTAAGTTCTAAGCTTGAAATGAGAACAGACTATAATACAATAAGGATTTTATTTACATGTCTTAATTGAAAAAAATAATATTTTTTACGAAAATTCTTTGAAAGAAATGCCACCACGTTCTATTGCAGTACAAGTATGTATGTAGCTTTTAAAGTCTGACAAAGAAATTATAATTTAGTTACTAAGGACACACTTAGGCCACCATGGGCCCGTTGTGATACCAAATTAGAGGCTACTTATTTCCCTCCTCTTACCTTAGAAATGGAACCACTTCGTAGCTTCGTCGTAGACACTGGATGAATACAGTTTAGCCAGACATTCAAAAGAAAAATGGATGAACCAGCGTCGGCGAGCCCTCGCCAAAGCGGAACAGTGGCATTGGTAGTGCTCCACGCTTTCGATTTTCTCCTTATCACGGCTGATACGACGGTAGTAGTTTGATTGCAAACCCATTTGAGCAGCGTGGGTTCCTATCAAGCAGTGCTCGGTGAAAATTCCAATTACAGTGACCACTCTAAGCGGAGGAGAGGGCGAGATCTATACCCCACTTCCTGTCTTCAGACCCAACTTAAGTCATCAGTACATATGGCTACTGAGTTTCTGGCTCAGGACCGCATCCTCCTACCATTTACCCCAAGAGGGGATCATTGTCTAGAAGTTATTCTTTAGTCCACTAGGCAGCTTGCCTGTAGTTTACCATATAATTCCACAGGTAGAAAGTGAAGCAATAGCCACCAAACCGTGATGTCGTAGAACAGAATGGGACGCACAACTGCTGTGTAGATCCTTTTGCAGGTGATTTCCCTGCGACGGTGCCTCTTTACTAACCCAGTAACCCTTCCAAGAGTCCCTTTGGGCTTTCCTGGTAGCATTTTTAAATTTATTCAGGGCTGCATTGTATGCAGTCCACGAACCATCACGTTTTAGCGCATTAAAGAGTATCCTGCTTTCCTTCCTTAGAGAGGTGATATCTTTGGTCTCCCAGTGTGGCTTCTTATTTCAATTTGTTTCTATGAGCTAAACTTACCGAGAGTTGTAAGGTTTTCGAATGAAGGCTGCGCTGCATCTGACAGTAAGTCTAGCTTATTGCGAGAAGCGTTATTGAGCAGATACCACGAGAGCACCGAATGAAAGCGAGTGCCGAGAGAGAGAATGAATGGTCATTCCCTACATTCCACTCCCTAATTCTCTCATAGAAAAAGCTAGACGTGCAAGTAATATCCAATACTTCCTTCCTGTTTGAGGAAACTCAAGTGGTTCTATTGCTAATATTACAGATAACTAGGTTATAAAAGATAAAATAAAATCAAATAAAAACTCACCTACATTCGAGTTAAAAGCAGTTCGTACGCTAAAACTTATTATTTTCTTTGCACACAGACGAGTCGGTTCCAATTTCCTGGCCTCGACAAGGTGATATCAGCTTCGAAAGTGTTAGTTTATGCTACGAAGGTCAGAGGGAAAAGGTGATAAAAAATTTAACACTAAAAATTCCGTATGGACAAAGGGTGAGTAATTGATTGATGAGTAATAATTTGAAATATAAATAAGAAAAAAGCAGAAGTGGAAATTTTATTTGAATTTCTCGCTATTATCCCTGTTATTTAGATCGGTATTTGTGGCCGCACAGGCAGCGGTAAATCTTCCTTAGCCATGTCGCTGCCCGGTGTGCTACAAACCACCGCCGGACGCATCTGCATCGATGATGTGGACATAACCAAAATTCATCCAGATGAGGTGCGCATGCGTGTATCGATGATTCCACAGGATGTGCATATTTTCAATTTGAGCATACGTGAAAATCTTAATCCTACCAACTACTATGCCATCTCTGAGCTGTGGGGTGCATTGGACAAGGTGGGATTGATGAGTTTTGTCAATCAATTGCCTGAGAGTATTGGTGAGTTGTGTGATTGCATTAGGAAGGGTTTGGGTATTCTTATATATATATATATATTTTTACTTCAAACTTGTAGACACCATTGTTGGCGATGGCGGTGTGCAGCTGAGCGCCGGTCAACGGCAGCTGATGTGCTTGGCGCGCATACTTTTACGCGGTTCGGTGTGCTTGATACTCGATGAGGCGACCAGTTCCTTGGATAGCGCCGCCGAGCAGGCGTTACTCACAGCGGTGCATTGCTCATTTCGTGGGCGTACAATAATAACTATAGCTGTGAGTTAAGAGGCTTTGTTATTTTTAATTTTGTTATTTAATTTTAAGGGTTTTGTTATGAATTTTTATTGGTACATATGCATGTAGATAGTTTTCATTGATTTTTAATTTACTTTTAATTTTGTATTTATAATTTCTAATTTTACAATTACAATTTAATTTTAAATACTTTTTATTAATTTATTATGGAACGATTTTACGTCGAAGCTCGGTAAAATTTGCTTTGGAGACAACTTTTAAATTTTTACACCGAAATACATAAAAAATTAAGAAGTTTTTAACCGAGTTATGAGTCTAAAATTTGTATGAAAATTCCACTTTATACATAGAGTACTTTAAATCTAATTTATTTTTTATGCAAACATAGTGGAATTAATATTAATAAATTAGATTAAAAGAGCTCTATAAAGCGATATTTTCATACAAATTTTCAAATTTTATAAAACAGTTAAAGTCTTATTGGTTTTTTATGAATTTAGGTGTTAACTTTTAATTTTTCGATTTTAATATTTAAATTTACACTTAAAATTAAATTTTTTCTTAATAAAAAACATTTAATTTTTATTCTTTAAAGCGCAATTTTTAAATTAAAATTTTTCCTTTTTCAGCATCGCCTGTCGACAATACTTGATTATGATCGCATTATTGTTTTAGAGCAGGGTCGCATTATTGAGGATGGCACACCAGCTGAGTTGCAGCAGCGTAAGGAGGGCGCTTTCTATAGCCTTTTGCATTCAGGGCGTCCTTTAAACTCCGTGGGTGGTGAGCCACTGCAGCACGAGAACAACAAGTGCAACAAGAAATGAGTTCTTAAAGTTTAGGCTCCATAGTTTTTTATATGCCGACGTGTGTATGTATGTGCATTTAAGTTTCTATTTATACGCATTTTATTATTGTGCCATATTTTGCCGTATTTTGTATTGTAAATTACTAACTATTTTTT